CCTATAGGTCAACGCCCCTACATACCCCAAGCAGGTGGTCCGCAACATGCCTGTTGCCAACCACATGCCGCTTCTTCCATCCCGCTATCGCCCTATTGCCGCGCCTGTAGGTCATCGCTCCTGAATATCCCAAGTTGGTGGCCCGCGGCATGCCTGATGCTGACCACGTGTTGCTTTTCCATCCTGTTGCCGCCTTTGCTGCCACGCCTGTAGGTCAATGCCCCTGAATACCCCAAACAGGTGGCCCGCAACATGCCTACTGCCGAACACGTGTTGCTGCTTCCATCCTGCTGTCGACCCTAAATACCCCACGCAGGTGGCCAGCTGCTCCACCCCATCAGCCACCCCGACACCCAACCAGGCAGTCTGTTGTCAACTCGCCGCTCCGCCCCGCAAGTCCACCCCACCGCCTGCGGGCTCACGAATCTGCCCCACTAGTCCTACCAGTGACTCCTCGGCCGCCCCGCTAGATCTCGTGCAAGTTGTTGCCTCTTGCTGGTTACATCGCCGCCCATCAAATTTGCCCTCCAGTGTTAACCTTCTTGCTCTTGGATCGATTACTTAATCGATTAGGATTGTAGTGTGCCGCCACTGACTGCCTCTGGTCTCTAATCAAGATCGATTGACTTGGTGATAAAAGGAGGGAAAAACAGGTACAATGTTTTCGTCGGGTACACATCTCCCTCGATGTCTGCTGCCTTTTGATGGTATTCCCTATATTGATCTCGTCTCGCACATGCACCGTCTCGGTGCTTGGTGCTCGTCCGTCTGTGACGTCGTCCTCTTCGGCGGCCTCCACACATGGTGATCGTCGCTCTACATCGACTCCTATCGCGACTTTCACCGGTGTAGTCGCGCTACATCGACTACTCTTGTGATTTTCATCCAGTGTTGGTGCATCTGGCTACATCAACTACGCCTCACACACACGCCTTCCCTTGGCACTTGGTGCTCGTCTGCATGCGACTTCGTCCCCTCAACCGATCTCTGCAGACAATACTAGTCATGGTACACTACCTCCTCTCGCAGCTTCCACAGGTAGTGGTGGCCACTCCCCTTTCAATGTTGCTACATCTACTTCTGATGTGACCTTCACTGAGCAAGAGATTGTGCGCCTTTGGTTCTTCCTTGTAGAGTGCATCTACATCGACCTCTTCAGTTAAGCCACCCATGACTTGGCAGGAGATTACGTGACTTTGATGCCTGCTAGCTACATCCTCTGGTTCTCCACCGATAGGTTCTGCTGGTTATGTTATGGACTATTCTAGCATTGTGAGACCACCTTCTACATAGGCAGGTGCATCTCCATGGATTCTTAGATACTGGGGCATCTTTTCATATGACTCATGATTCATCCACTTTGCCTTCTATTAGACCCCTCGATTCGCATGTTCATGTTCTTACTACTGATGGAACCTCCCTCCAAGTTAATGGCCAAGGCATTCTTAGCACTTCGTCATTTCATGTTCCTGATGTTGCTCATATTCCTCAACTTACCATGCAGCTCATATTTGGTGGTCAGATTGTTGACTCCGAGTCCTGTTCTATTCTGGTCCGTCACACTGATGCTCTCCTTAGTGCTGGCCCCCGGCGCCGTGAGTCCCAAGGTCTCTGGGAGCTTGAATAGCTTCATCTTCCCTCCATTGCCACCACCACTAGCCTCTCGGCCTCTGTTCCCATGTTCCCCTGTCCACCAGCTCTTTTCAGAAGTGGCATCATTGGCTTTGTCACTTATGTGGCTCTCATCTCCCATACTTAGTTCGACGTGTTCTTGGATCCCTCTCCAACGATGACTTTAGACTGTCAGGGTTGTTGGCTTGGTAAACTAGTCCAGTTACATTATCCTCATAGGGATACTATGTTTCAACGTCCTTTTGACCTTGTTAACTCTGATGACTAGGGTCCAGCTCCCTTTGACTTGAAAGGAGGTCATCGCTACTATATTATCTTTACAGATGATTTCTCTCAACACACCTAGATATATTACATGTCTTCTTTGTTTTCTGCATATTGTACCGCACCTCTACATGTATATATATTGGCCTATGGCCACCTGAAAATATAAGTTGCATATTTCCTAACATATACGAGAAAAATGAAAGGACAATGTGTTCTTCAAGAAAACTAGGAGGTTCTCAAGATGACGCGTACTCTATGTAAAGAACCACGTAATGATTAACATAGCATGGTACAAAGTAGCACATGTCCTACAAACCTCGCAAAATCCAATTACAGAGCAAACAGCCTAGCAGAGACAAGCGAACCACATACATGATTCTAAAAAGTGAAGTACAGATCTATTCATGAACACAAACAAAATCACACTATAAAGGAATTGTATACTCAGTAAACTATAACTCCCTGACAAGAGTCATAAGTCTAATAGGACAAATGTACATACATGTTGTTTGCATTTTGGGTAATTTAAGTGCAGCGACATATTAGAAAACATGAAAGCATGTTGAAAGTCAAACTGGCTAAATACTTACCTTCCATCTGGTATGGCTGAAACCCACTGAATCAGCATTAAGAAGATCGTCAAGTTCATCAAGCTCTTGCTTTACTTGCAGAACCAACTTACAGATGGTTGCATCATTAGTGGCACTGAAAACACATTTACATCTCTCTGCAGCAACAAGGTCTGTCCATTAAGTCCCACTTGTATACAGTGTATGAGCATTCCCAACAATCCAAAGACAGAACGTGCATGAAAAAGCATCCACCTGATAATTTGTAGAATCGGTCAGACATACTTTGAGCAGCAATAAAACAAGGGGTCCCGAATAAATTGATGCACGCCTTGCTCTAGTAAGAGCAACATTTGTTCTTTGGTTATCAGCAAGAAATCCTACAACTCCTCTCTTAACAGTTGATAGTATTGATGTATCATCTTCTCCTTGGAAATCATCAATGGACTTCACCCGCACATGAAAGCCATCATATGTGTCATATTTTTTGGCAGGTCAACTTTTAATTACATCAACTTGAGCAATATATGGAGAGACCGCGGACTATGCTGAGCCCTTAGGTCTGTCCTTATCCAACCTGCAGAAATAACTTATGTGGTATGCTTAGTGATCTTTAGGGATCAAAGTTTGGACAAGGCTAATGAAAGCATTTTCTTCAGCAAATTTAAGTCGATTCTATATCCCCGAATCATTGACATATCATTGCTTTTTCACTATGAAGTCCGGAAATAATAGAAGTTACTAAAGTGGGTTCATAAAGTGGCCAACAACTGTAATACGGCATAATGTTTCACCTTTCATGTCATCTACCTAATGTTCTCTTTTTTCTAACTACAAATGTAATATTTGTCTACGAAAGAGGGCAGTAGAATTGAAATTTCATAAAGCTTGATTGATGCAATACCATATCATGAGATACAAATAGAAATCTGGACTCTCAACGTACACTATTGTAGTGAACACATTTCTACCAATGAAGATTATAAAGTATGCAGTCCAAGAACAGCAGACCACGTAAACTTCTAAAGATCCAATGTTATATTAGCAAGGTAGCTTCATAAAAGAAAAAATAGAAAGGATATTAAGGTTAAAGGAAGGATAGAGTTCAGCTTAAACATACATTTAAAGATGGAATGGATTAGTTGCAAACAACAGCAACTTCAACCATGTTTCTGCAACTGCTTCCTGTCTTCTCTTCCATCAGTGACATTTAGAAACGTGTAGCTGACAAAAGGGAGGCATGTGTAATCCTTATCACAACTAGGAGACATGACAATGGAACCATCTAAAATCTTCCTCTCATAGCACTTGGAAATAAGCTGATAGAAGGATTCATGTGATACTGTATATTCAACAAATGTTTATCAAATTTGAGCATAACCAATCTCTCAAATAAACTTGTCACGAATCCAGCTTCTTTGCATACCTAGAGATGAACTATGAAATGTAAGGATTAAGATCATCAAAAACAGATCAATAACAATGAAACATAAAAGAAGATATGGCTGTTACATTTTTTTCAAAAGTTTATCTTGTTGATAAATGCAACAATGACTAAGAAATGAAATCAAACAGTACAAAGAGGGTGAGGCAAAACCATCATTTGCTTTTAACCATTGCACTCAGCCGACAGTCTTCTCCTACCAAAACATGTTTTA